TGTTTGCATGTTTTTGTGGTGTGTGCATGTTTTTTTGGTGTGTGTGTGCATGTTTTTTGTGGTGTGTGCATGTTTTTTTGGTGTGTGTGCATGTTTTGTGGTGTGTGTGTGCATGTTTTTTGTGGTGTGTGCATGTTTTTTTGGTGTGTGTGCATGTTTTGTGGTGTGTGTGTGCATGTTTTTTGTGGTGTGTGCATGTTTTTTTGGTGTGTGTGCATGTTTTGTGGTGTGTGTGTGTGCATGTTTTTTGTGGTGTGTGCATGTTTTTGTGGTGTGTGTGCATGTTTTTGTGGTGTGTGTGTGCATGTTTTTGGTGTGTGTGTGTGTGTGTGTGTGTGCATGTTTTTGGTGTGTGTGCATGTTTTTGGTGTGTGTGTGTGTGCATGTTTTGTGGTGTGTGTGTGTGTGTTTTTGTGGTGTGTGTGCATGTTTTGTGTGTGTGTGCATGTTTTTGTGGTGTGTGTGTGTGTGTGTGTGCATGTTTTGTGGTGTGTGTGCATGTTTTTGTGGTGTGTGTGCATGTTTTTGTGGTGTGTGTGCATGTTTTGTGGTGTGTGTGTGTTTGCATGTTTTTGTGGTGTGTGCATGTTTTTTTGGTGTGTGTGTGCATGTTTTTTGTGGTGTGTGCATGTTTTTTTGGTGTGTGTGCATGTTTTGTGGTGTGTGTGTGTGCATGTTTTTTGTGGTGTGTGCATGTTTTTGTGGTGTGTGTGTTTTTGTGGTGTGTGTGCATGTTTTGTGGTGTGTGTGTGCATGTTTTTTGTGGTGTGTGCATGTTTTTTTGGTGTGTGTGCATGTTTTGTGGTGTGTGTGTGCGTGTTTTTTTTGGTGTGTGTGTGTGTGTGTGTGCATGTTTTGTGGTGTGTGTGTGTGTGTTTTTGTGGTGTGTGTGTTTTTGTTGTGTGTGTGTGTGTGTGTTTTGTGGTGTGTGTGTGTGTGTGTGCATGTTTTGTGGTGTGTGTGTGTGTGTGTGTGCATGTTTTGTGGTGTGTGTGTGTGTGTGTGCATGTTTTGTGG